CCAGATGGAGTCTGGATGCAGATCAAAGCTTATTTTTAAAAACTTTTTTTATTTTTCTGGTTTTGTTTTGTTTGTTTTTTTGGTCTGTTTTCTTTCACATGACTACTATGGAAATAGGTACTGCATGACTGCACGTGTAAAACCTATATTGCATTATTTACATTCTCAATGAGGGGGGAAGAACGGGAAAGGATTTGGAACTCAATTTTTTATAAGGAATGTTAAAAATTGTTTTTATATGTAATTGGGAAAAAACAACACATTGAATTTAAAAATTAAGTGGATAAAAGGATAGAAGAAAATTAAGAAGAAACACAGACAAGCAGCAGAATAGTTTTGAAGGTTATATGTGAATTTGTTATAAACTTTTCAAAGTGAGGGGTTCAACATGGCAACTGACAGTTCCACATAGCATCCTTATTTGTGTTCTCTTGTGAGTGCGGACGTGCTCTTTTGTGATGTTTAAATTTAGAATAACTTTTTAAGGCACAAAAAACTGGCAACAGATGAGCAACTCACACAGGTTCTGGCTTTCACAGCACTGACATTTATCTCAATTCAATTCCTTTCAATTTTGAATTTCTTTTCAATTCAGTTCCATAGAGTTCTAGAAACTGGGGAGCTATCTTGATGCAATCTAGGACTTTTGGGAAACATATCTCAAACCATTTGAATCCAGTCCTTTCTTTTAGCCTCCACATGAATAAAAGCCAGAATTGCCATAAGGGTATGCAGTGGTGAGGAGCTGATAAATTTGCTGTGATTGGTAAGCTTACCTCCAGGCTACTCAAAACTGCTAATTCTTTTCTTTTCTGGTTATACTTCCAATCCCACATTTTATTCTTATGTGGCATAGTGAATACAGTTGGCCCTGGAATCAGGAAGAACTGGGTTCACATACTTGCTATGTGACCTTGGAAAAGTCAATTACCCTCTTATTGCCCTCAGAAAATTCTAGGGCAGCAAGTTATATAGAAAGTACCAATCCGCATCAGTATAGAAAAACTTTCAATAGAGAACTTTATGCAGAGTTGGAAGATGTGGGTTAAAATTCTGCTATCCACGTCCTGGTTGTGCATACTTGGATAAGTCACTGAACTACTCAGGGTCCAGGTGTTTGCATTTGTAAAATGAGGTTAGTAACACTTGCATTAGTTGCTTTGGAAATGTTGTGAGACTTGAAGGAAATAATGCTTGTAAAATGCTTGGTAAATCTTCAAGTGCTAGAGAAAGTCATAGGATCACAACTGGACCTGGATGGGAACTTGGAAGCCATTGAGGCCAAGGCTTCATTTGACATATGAGGAACTGAATCCTTAGTTAGGGCATGTGACTTTGCTAAGGTCACATAAGGAGATGTCAGCAGAGCTTGGATTTGAACCCAGCTCTTCTGACTCCCAGGATACCAAGCTGCCTCACTATATGCACTGCTGACCGCACGGGATACTTGCAATACTCAAAGTATATGACACATACAAATTACATTATACCCTATAAAGTACTATAATTATCCTTCTGTGTGAATTTAAAAGCTATATAAAGTTCATTATCACCTCCAAACTGAACCTCGGGATAGAACAAATTGGAATGAAGCAAAATTGCATCTTGTCCAGAATGGTCTGCAAGGTTTGAGGGTTTGATGGACCCAGTGCCATTTTATCCCCAAACAGGAGCACCTGGAAGACTTCACCATCTAAATAGAATCCTTCTGGCTCCCTCTGCCCATGACAGTCCCCAAACCTGTTCATGACCATGTATCTCACTGTATGAGGTCTCTCCTGATAATAATGACCGGAAGGTTGATTCAAAAGGAGGTCCCATCTTTACATGTAATTGAGAAAAAAATCCTTTTTTAAAAAGTAAGCTCCCTCCAAAATCCAGGTTATTCTTTCTTTTCCCTACACCGTGTATCTTCCATCTGTATGGAACCAATTAGCAGGAATGAAATAATAGCTGTGCTGGGCTAGGTACAGAGATAAGTTTCAAAGAAATTTATTCATGCCTGGAAGTTTATGCCAAGTTCAAAAGAGTCCATGGGCAGTCAACAGGGTCCATGTCTCCTATAACACAAAGAAAGAACTTTATCTCAGTTTGGATCGATCCATAGCTCAGGCAGGATCTCAACTCTGACTGACACTCATTTGTTGTGTGACCTTGTGTAAACCAATCTCTGGCCTCAAATTTCCTAATCTCTAGATTGAGGCAAGCGATGGTTCACTAGATCACACGTCTGAGAGTTCTTGTCCCAGGACTGGATCAGTCTCTTTGTGTGTGTTTGGAAGTTTCAGTAGATTGCTACATGATTTAGTCACTGTTAGCCTCAGTTAGGTCAGTTCTGCAGGTTTGAAGCGAATGAGCTGCTGATTCTCCCTAAGTTTAGGACACCTCCTTTGGGTATTCTACTTCAGGTTTCAAAGCTACATTAAAGGCTAGAACAAAATCCCTGGTCTGCTCCTGCTCCAGAGCATTTTGTTTTTATTGCTCAATACACAGATAAGGTCCATGCTCATAATCGCTCCCTCCGTTCAGGATCTTTGACAGAGCTGCCAGATGGCATGTGTTCCTTTCCCCTGTGCTGAGTCAGGCATCCCCTGGAATCTCTTTCTTTCCTGGTGCTTCCTGCCCTGGAGCTCTGCCTTGGTCCTCTTTCCATACTTGGATTCTGGGAAACAGATCACAAGCCCAGCACAGAGACATAATATGATAATGAAAAGGAACTTCCATTTTCCAAGACATCTGCTGGGAGAACACTCTGCCTAATGCGAAATAGTTTGATTTGTCCTAGTGAGGATTTCATCTTTCCAGAGGTGGAGGAACCAACAATAAAAAATGTTCTTATTCATATATTCTTCTTAGCAAGGAGAAAATCTGATCATGTCTGATCATGTCTAGAAGAAACCCCAGTCATTTCCTATTACTCCCAGGATCAAATATAAAATGCTCTCTTTGACTTTTAAGGCACATCACTACCTAACCCCATCCTACATTTCCAGTCTTCTCGCTTGTCACTCCCCTCTGTACACTTAGTCAATAAGTGAATAAACATTTCTTAAGTACCTACTATGTGTCAGGCACTGTGTAAGTGCTGAGAAGACAAAAGGAGATAAAGGACAGTCCCTGCCTTCCCCTGAAAGAGCTTACACACACATACACACACACACACGCACACACACACATACACACACATACATGCACACACATACACATAACATAAATGGGATAAACACAAAGGAATTATTGGAGGGAAGGCATTAAAATTAAGAGACGTTTGGAAAACTTCCTGTAGAAGATGGGATTTTAGCTAGGACCTAAGGAAGGAGGAAAAAAAAGGCAACAGTTGGAGGTGAGGAAGGAGAGCATTCCAGCAGTGTAGGATAGCCAGAGAAAATGCCTGGAGATATCAGATGGAGTGTCATTTTTGTGAACTAGCAGAAGCCCAGATCACTGGATCAAAAATGTATGTATTAGGGAGTAATATGTAAGAAGACTGAAAGGCAGGAGGGGGCTAAGTTATGATGTGCTTTGAATGCCAGAGTATTCTGTATTTGATCCTAGAGGCCAGGAAGCCACTGAGGATTATTGAGTGGTGAAGATTAGTGTGTGTGTGTGTGTGTGTGTGTGTGTGTGTGTCTTGATCACACCAGCATTACAGGAAAATCACTTTAGTGGCTGCGTGGACGGATGGGAGTGGGGAGAGAGGTGAGGCAAGCATTACCCAAGAGCAACCCAGATGCAATTTTCCAGACATGAAGGGCTGGCCTTATAGTGGTGGCAGAATCAGAGGAGAAAAGGGGATGTATATAAAGAATGTTACAAAGGTGAGGGAACATTACAGGTGAACACTTCAACATTCCCCTCCAAACAACTTAAAATGATGCATCACTTTGCAATCTGGAGCAGCGGAGCCAACAAAGAGTTCAGGTGAGACTTCTTCCATTTCAAGAAAAGTGGGAGGTCAGAAGAAGTCTGTGAATACTTGTTCAATAAGCATGGGGACACTTATAGGAACTGATGTAGAATAAACAAACAGAAGAGGAAAATGATATACATGATTATAATAAATACAAGGAAAGAAAGAAGGAAAGAAGTAGGAAGGGAAGAAGGGGGGAGGGAGGGAAAAAGGAATGAAAGCTAACATTTAAAGACCAACTAATTCTGAATCAATTATGAAGGACCTCTGAAGGAAGTTGCTGTCAACATCTAGAAAAAGAACTGATAAATAGAAGTATGTATTGTATGATATGGTTTTACATATATTATATTTTATATGTGTGTAATGGTAGCCTTCTCTAGGGTGTGGTGAGGAAGGAAAACATTAAAAGTGCACAGCACAGAACAAAAGAAAACTTTGAAGGAACCATATAAAAGCAGGTTAACTTTGCAAAAGATGTGTAGTATTTACTATGTAGTTTTTTAAACAAGCAAACAGTGTGAAATGGAAATTTATGGTTTTATGCTGTGCTGTATACATAAAAATGTTCTTTTTTTGTGTTTTTATCTTTTAGTTAAAAATGAAAAAAAAATTTAAAAACAAAGATAAATCGCTGGGCAAGGCAGCAGGAAGGATATATTTGAAATAGAAGTATTGTAAAAACAAACAATATCAATTAAAAATATTAAAGAGACCCAAGGGACAGCTAGGCGCCTGCAGTGGACAAAGAGCTGGGCCTGGAGTCAGGAAAACTTGAGTTTAAATCCAGCCTCAGACTTACTAGCTATGTGACCTTGGGTAAGTCCCTTCAGCTTCCTCACATGTAAAATGAGCTGGAGAAGGGAAGGGCAAACCATTCGACTGTCTTTACCAAGAAAACCGCAAATAGGGTCATGAAGAGTAAGACACCAAAGAAAAAACTGGAAAACAAGCAACAAATTAAAAAAGGCAAATTTTGTTGGGTCAATTAAATAAAATAATATTAACCACATATAGAAGATTTAAAAAAAAACACTTTTAAAAATATTAATTCACCTTTTAAATTCACAATTAAAAGGATGAGACATTTCTAGCTTCCTTCAAAATACTAGATTTATCATTGACTCCTCAGTCCTACCCCTATCCTAAAAGACATAATAAACTTTGGGCATATGAGCTGGCCCCTGTCAGCCACAGGCCCCAACCACAGAGCAATGGACCTGTGGGCATTTGTCATCCCTGGCATTGTGGCTTGTGTTTTTTCCCCTCATCATCCTGTTTCTGTGCAGAGGCAGAGGCAGAGTGGGGGGAAATTCCCTCCAGGCCCAGCTTCTCTCTCTGCCTTTGGGAACTTCCTCCACCTGAACCCACAGAATAACCCCAAGTTCCTCTTCCAGCTAAGGGGGCTCTATTCTGGACTTGGTTTCCACCTGGTAAATCATCAAGAACCTTTCATTCAGGTCTACTGGGTAACACATATTGTGAGACTGCACATGGTGGTACAATCCTTTCCAGTTTGTGGTAACACTGGAACTTTGTAAATATTTGGTTCATTCATTCCAGAATGCACTTAACCATGGCATAATGGAGTCCTGGCACTGCCCCTTACTAGCTGTGACAGTTGCAAAAGTCATTTCACCTTGAGCTTCATGTGTTCCATTTTTTAAAATGGAAGTAATAACTTGGCATTACCTCTATCTTAGAGATATTTGAAGCTAATGCACAATAGTTATCTATAAAGGATTTTTAAATCTTTTTGTAATGCCCTCTTTGCTGCTCATTGGACGCTGTTCTTGAATGCAGATGGGCTGTGGGAGGTGGCAGCTAAGCTGAGAGTAAACATTGTTATTAAGTCTGGGTTCCCAAAGCATCCTTTAGCTCTCAAGAAATGGCAGGAGCTGATTTTATCCCAGTCCTAGGCAGGAAAGGAGAGTAGAGGAAGGAATTAAATAGAGGGAAAACCTGCTAGAGTCTGTGGCAATAATCAGCTTGTTGAAAACAGGACTGGAAATCCAGCTGAGCTCAGTCCTGCCACCCTACCCCAGAGGCCACTCTGGGCACAGACTCATGTCAGCAGCTCCCATATCCTCCAGCACAAGGATGCTTAGTTAAGCTATGACTTTAAGTATCTGCTCACAAGTGAAGGGGAAAGTGTTGACACAGAGTGATTGATAGTGGAACAGAAGGAAATCACTGAAACACCAAGGATAATAAGCAAAAGAGCCACAATGAAGTCCTGTTCCATTACTGCCTCAGGACACGGAGATAACTTGGGACTCTTAAAATATAAATAAATAAATAAATGAACAAACAAACAAATGAATGAATGAATGAATGAATAAATAAGTAAATAAATGAATGAATAAAATTTAAAAATACAAAACGTTAGCAGCTCCCATCAAGCTGGAAAAGATTTGTGAGCATGTTCCTACTATTGTCTGAGAACCAGATGAGCTAGGTTGAGAGAGGTTCAGCACCAGCTTGGCCAGAGAGTCATGAATGATTTGGCTACAGTGACTCAAAGATCACCTACTAAATTATAGGGGGCTCAGGGTGGTGTTGGTCATCACTGGGGGATGAAAGACTTACCTGGAAGAAATCATAGATTGCCAAAGTATTGAAGTGTCAGGCAGTAATGGAGAAGGGAGCATTCCACTGTCACAAGAAAGCCATACTGCCCAATCCATCTCAACTACTTTGTTCTTTCAGCTAACATCCTAACCAAGCAGAAATGACCCTGTGCATGGTCAGAGGTGCTTACCAGCTGTCCAACTCTTAATAGATGGGGGTAATTTAGGGCTATCCTCTGCAGCTGTTTGAACTTCTGTTTAAGCAGGCCTCTGAGTAAGTCCTAGGCATTTTAAAATGAAGAGGAAACAATCAGTTTCTCCCACCCATTTTGTTTTCTACCTTTTGGCAACACAGACCTCTCCAAATGAGTGCTTATACAGTCGCTGTGTATCCTCACTTGGGAAGGGAAAAGGAGAAAATGAAGAGTCGGTATGTCCTGTGGTCTGTTTAGCTAGCTGTCAGAGGCGCCAAAGGGCTGCAGTGGGGGAGGGGGAGCTATGCTGCTCTAACTTGACATCCAGATTGGGGTGCTGGTACAGCAGCCCCAGAGATGACTTCCTGGCTTTCCCCTTTTGTACAGAATTAGCCCCGTCTCTGGCACACATCAGGGAGGCTCCCTAGCCTTCGGGGCCTCTGGGATCTGTGTGGTTATTTCTTGCCTCTGCTCTGGATCTGGCCGTTGAGCTCTTGTTGCTGGATTGTCAGCATTGTAACAAATGGAAGGGACACAGGAAGGAGAAGGGGAATGGGGAGACAACTCGGATCTCTCTGTAAGTGCCCTTTGGCCTGTTCTTCATGTCCCTGGCTAGCCTCCACTGAAACCCTCGCCTGCACAGGTGATCGTGAACTTACACGAAGAGCAAAAGTGCCAAAGTGCATTCCTGGCCTGCGTTTCTGTTTAAACTCTTCACTGGCAGTATAAGTGACCACTCAGGGCCCGTTGTTCAGCATGGCTAGGTCTCAGTTCAAATAGGAAATCCCTCTGAAGCATCAGCAGGTACTTGTATTTGTGCTGCCTATTTCCACTGGATTGGAACCAGTGGCCATATTTTACGTAATTATAACTTACAGAGAATTTGAATGCATGTGATCACCTCAGGAGATTTATTGTCTATAGTAATCAGTATGTAGCTGCAATACCATAGATTGGTATGTCTTATATCGAAGGAATGAGCCAGCAGGCAATGTCCCAAGCTTGGCACACACCATAACCCACTGCACTCTGAAGTTTTTGGCCTGACAGTCCCACGTTGGAACTAATCCTTTCAGGGGTTGGGGATGGGGGTGACAGGATGGCAAAGAGGAGCAGACTTCTATGGGAGGTTATGCTTTTATTTTTTTAAATGCTCTTTGTTGTTCAAAACTGTTTCTCCTCCTACCTGTACGACCACTACTTCTCACTCTACTTTACTGTATATTTATTGTGCTATGTGGACTGCTAGTGCCCCCATGGCATTGATCTTCTTTGCTCCTATTTTTTTCTCTATGCTCTCACTTGGAAATCTCATCAGCTCCCATGGATTTTCATCACTGGATCAATATACCCAGGTCTAGGATGTTTTCTGAGCTCCAGTCCCACATTGCTAATTGCTTACTGGACAGTTTGGAACTGCATGTGCTCAATATCACTGAGATTAAACTTCTTTTCCCCCTAAAACCAGCCACTTCTGAACTTTCTCATTTCTGTTGAGGGGACTTTTATCTTTCTAGTTCATAGTGTCAAGGTTGAAACTCAACTCTTCTCTCTCATTCCACATATCCAATTAGTCACCAAATCTTGTTAGTTTCTTCCTCTTCAACAACTCTGGCTTCCTTTCAGACTCAGCTGAAAACTCACCTTCTGCCAGAAGCCTTTCTCCTTCGCCCACCATATCTTCTCCTTTAAGGCTACCTTCCATTTACTCTGTACTATCACATGTATACTGATTTAGGTCGATGTGGTCTCCTTCATTAAAACAAAAACTTGTTGAAGGCAGGACCTGGTTTTGCTTTTCTCTCCCTCTCTCTCTCTCTCTCTCTCTTTTTTTTTTTTTGGTGTCCTTGTGTTTAACACAATTCTTGGCACAAAGTAGGCATTTAATAAATTGATTGCTATTAAGCACTAATGGTATTGGAGGCATCGTGTTGGCCCTAATGAGAAAGAATGAAAACCACAGCTGTCCCTGCTTCTCAAAGGAGCTTACGTTCAGTAACTCCAAATTACCTCCACAGGAAACTCATGTTTCTTAGCTGGGAAATCAAAGCTTCTCATAACATGGCTCCAGCCTCCCTTCTAAGCCTCATCTCATACTTATTCCCTCCAGTCATTTATACTATGTCCAAACTGGATAGATCTCCAAGGCCCAATGCTCCACTTTGACTTGCAGAGTTCCCTGTGTCTGGCACATTCTCTCTCCTGCATTGTGTCCTATTAAAGTCATGCTCATTCTTTAAAGCCCAATTCAAAAATTACTTCCTCCACAATGCTCTTGTATAACTGTAATAGCTCTATAGCAGCTCTGTAATAGTAGAACTGGAATAGCTCAGTAGTAACCACTTTTCATCTCTTGGGCTTCATACAACCTTCATTCATATTGAATACCTCTTTTATTGTGTACTATTTTTGTGTGTTATAATTCAGTCTAACAAATATTTTTTTTAATAACTGAGGGACAATTTATTTTTCATGGTTAATTTATACCAGCATAATATAAGTGATCAAGACACCTAAATTAACCTAAATAAGTGTTATACCAATAAAAAATCAAAACATTTATTTCTTCTTTTGAATTTTCATATTTCATTTTTCCATGTTTCATTTAAAAATAATTTTTAACCTTTTTTTTTATAATTTTGAGTTCAAAATTCTTTCCTACCCTACCTTGACTCCTCCATAATTGAGATTTTTGTGCCTCTTTTGCCATTTCACTTATTTTGTTCTTTAAAGAGCTATTTTCTTTTTGTATCACTCTCATCTTTTCTCACAATTTATCCTCTACCTCTCTTATTTGATTTTAAAAAATTCTTTTTAAGATCTTACATGAGATCTTTTTGAGTCTGAGACTAATTCATTTTTTGTTTGAGCCTTTGCATGTGGCCTTTGATATTCTTGTCCTTTTCTGAGTTTATGTTTTGACCTTCTTTGTCACCATGGTAACTTTCTGTGGTCAGAGCCTTGTTTCTGTTGTTGTTGCTTTTGCCCTGACTATTTCTTGACTTTTAACTTTACGTTAAACGTGAGCTCTCCTCTCAGGGTAGAGAGGTGTACTGTCTGAAGCTTAAGGTTTTTTCTCTCTTGTTTTCAGAATTACTCGTGGGAGTCTGTAAGTTTCAAATTCTTCTGAGGTGATATGATATAAGGAGAAGTGTGGTCACTGCCCTCCTCACTTTACTCCTCTCTGACCACTAAAGGATGATCATTTTCTCTTTTGCATGGAGGCCAGCACTTTTCACTTACATGTGTGGTGCCCAAAGTCTCATTAATACATTCTCAGGCAACCACTTTCAGATTCCTAATCTTGGCAATAAAAATCATCCTATTAAAAATTCAGAAATGGTTGCAATTCTCCAGCCTCTGGATCCTACTCCTAGGGAGAATTCGCTCTCTGTATCCATTGCTCATTCGGACGATAGGAGGATCATTGCTAATTTCATATAAATGAAATGTAGAAAAGCTCTCTTAAGCAGGGTAAGGCACACATTTTAATATGTATTCTCTTTTCTTCTTTGCTTTTCCCCTGTTCCTATCTTCAGCTTGGGGTAAGTTAAGAGGATAAAAGAAGGGAAAGGATTTCCATAGCATCCCCAAGGAACAAAGGGATAAGAAAGGACAAAGACACCTTAGCTCATTAGCCTGATCATTAGGTAGCATTCAAAGCAGTTCTGTAGATGGGGGGAGTTGTCTGGTTTGTGTATATACATGCATCTATACATACATACATACATACATACATACATATATGTGTGTTCCTATCCTCTCTAATCTTCCTCACTCATTTTGTTTTTCTTTTCTTTTTTCTACATAGTTTAATGCTGAGAGATTTCCATCCCTCTTAGACTGAGTGCTCCTATAGGATTTAAGTTCAAAGGAGGGAGTTATCTTTCTCTAAAGGCTATGGAATCTGTTCTCCCCCCTAATCTCAGTTCTCTGTTAACCTATAATCAGCTCCTTCTCCTCTGTCACAAATTCTAAGATGCCAAAGTCAACTCTCAAATGGTCCTTTAATGTCCATCCCAGTAATCAATTTATCTTTCATGACAATTGACATTTTACTTTTTGAAACATGATTTTTTTTTAGGTAAGTCGGTTTTTTAGGGAAGTCAGAATATTATGAGCTATGTTTTGAGGAGGAGAGACAGAGACTGAGTGTCAGAGACAGAAAGAGAAGACACAGAGAGTCAAGTAGACAAAGACATGAGATAAGGAGGTAGAGATACAGAGAAAGAAAGAGAGAGGCAGCTAGGTAGTGTGGTGGATAGAGCTCCAGCCTTGGAGTCAGAAGGAGCTGAGCTCAAATCCAGTCTCAGACACATAACATTTACCAGCTGCATGACCTTGGGCAAGTCACTTAACCCCATTGCCTAGCAAAATAAGAAATTTAAAAAAAGAAAGACAGAGAGACACAATCAGAGCAGAGAGATAGAACAAAGAGAGAAAGAGGACGCAGAGAGATAACTACCATTTTTATAGAACTTACTATGTTCCAGGCACTATGCTAAGTGCTTTACAATTATTAGCTCTTTTGATCTTCACAAAAACAATCCTGACAGTTAGATGCTATTATTATCCCTATTTATAAAGGAGGAAAGTGAGTCAATCTGAAATTGAGTAAATTGCCCAGAGTCACACAGCTTGTAAATGTCAGAAGCTATATTTGAACTAAGGGCTTTCTAAGTCCCAGCCTGGCACTCCATCCACTATGTCACCTAGCTACCTTGAAAGAAGGAGAGAGAAAGACAGACAGACACAGAGGCAGAGAGCTCGAAAGACAATGAGAGGGACAGAGACAAAGAGAGAAAGAGGGGAGAAAAGAGGGAGAGAGACAGACAGGATATCCCAGCAGATGTCCAAATTTTGAAGTCTCTGATCACTATTATC